TATATATATACATATACGCCTTGTGCTGAGGAAGAGATGGGGAGCGAATGTTTGCCCGAGTAGCCCAAACAGAGCCAACGGGATGAGAGGATGCCAACGTATCTATACGTATACACTTTGAGCAAAGTATACGGAGCTCCATGTACGCAGGTAGGTATATGCAGAGCTCGGAGAAACAGCAGCTGCGGTTTGCGGTGGCGGCTTTGGAAGCTCCACGTTTACGCTCAGGGAGTTCCCTTTACCTGAGCGTGGAGTTACTCTATAGCCGAGCCTGACCCCGTTAGGAGACTGGATTTTCTCGCAAAACACCTATACACGCGTGCGTTTATATACATACATACTTACACGAAGGTACGCTCGTAGCTTTACAAAGACGCGCGTATGTGTGTACAGCTGGCGGGGGATTGCCGGCACAACACCCGCTCGAGTTTGCTCATTCCACGTTCATTTCATTTCCCCTTCCCGTCCGATTGTGTACCCTTGCAATTGCGCGTGTTTAGCTTTTGCGCTTCGCGTTCCGTTTGACGGGCGCGTTGGATTACTCTCATCGATTTTCGTCAGCAACGCGCCAGCTGCCACGGCTTTTAACGAGCTCGAGTTGGAGGACTCGCTCCTGCGATTCCAAGATAAAGGGGGTTGAAAAGAAACGGGGCCAGGGGATGAGGAAAGCGCGAAAAGCGCGGCGCAGATTTGGCCAAATGGAAGGAAAGAAGGAAAAAAGCCGCGTGATGTAGAAAAACAGCCGGCATTACAGAGGGAGACCGGCGAAGGGAATAATACATGGACGGGAGTCGCGGCGCGTCCCTCTCCTGCGAATTCACAAAGAGACTATTAGTAAGCCCCCCTCCCGGTCCCGGGCTCTTTCATTCCATTCTATCGCGCTTCGTGGCCGTACATTTGTGGCGAATGACTCGCGTGTAGCGGAAGGAAAAGGGGAAAAAAAGAAGGGAGGAGGAAGGAGTGAAAAAGAAACTTTATATCGAGTCGAGTTGACGCGCCTGACGAGCTTAAAAACGAGATAAATCGAACAAACAGAGAAGGAAAAAAAATATAAATATAAATGAAAGGGTGTTCGACGAGGACGCGTTTTTTCGGTATACAATATAAGAAGTTTCGGTATGAAAATAAGAAGAACGAGCCCAGTTGAAAAATTTGTCGATTTTTCATACCAAAGCAAAGTAACCATTCACAATTGTGTACCAATCGGCTTTTTACCGGCTCGATAGAATATTATAGTGAAACGCGCACGATCGAAATCAGTGGGACAAAAGGCTCCTCGTGACAAGCATATTTTTCCAACACAGACGTGATTATCCGTCCCTTCGTTAACTAATTAATCACCAAGCTCACCCTTCCCCATCCACCTCGTTGGCTTTGAACTCCATTGTTCTCGCTCGGCTTTTCAAACGGCACGACTATTCGTGAAGTGTTCATTATTTTCATCAACCGTAATTGGATGAAGGGAAATAAAAGAATTAGTCAGTCTCTCGGTGTTTTTTTGCCCTTTTGTCCGCAACCGTTCAACCGCATAATCAATCAGACGAGCGAACATTGTTGAAAAAAAATAACCACGACCCAATGGTGCATTAGCGAAAAAATTTGCGATGAAGAAATAAAAATGTGCTCAAACACACTGACGCTCCTGTCGAAGCCCTCCTATGTTCACGGGGAGGCACGACAACGCTGCAATTGTAATGCGCGCTCTGGATGCACGTTACGTCGTCCCACTCCACTGCTATTCTCCCCTTTCCCCATTCCGTGTCCCGCAACTTTCTGCCCATCGCAGCTTCATTAACGATCGAGGCACACATTTGCCAGAACAGCGAAAACGCATAGCCAACTGGGCAGTGACTCGAGTAATTGCCAGCCACTGTCTCGCTTCCTCGATGCTTCCGCCGATGCACGTCGAAGCTGAATTATTTGCGAGTTATCAATAAAGTATAGTGGACAGGCGCGTGCTCACCAAGCCAATCGGCAAATTTTTGTCACCCTCGTTGACCGGTTTTACCGCTGCCCCTGGGAAAATGGATTGTAAGCAAATGCGTGCCCGTACACCGGTGGTTTCAGTCGTTCCATTAAAGTTATGTTCCGCGCTATGTTTTTCACGGCACATTTATATGTGTAGGCGTACGGTTGACCAAAATAACATTGAAAAGTAAAAAAACCAACGGGAACAGTAAAACATGAACGTCATCAGAACGACTCTTTGGAACAATTTTCAATAAAACATGGTAAAATCAGATTATAATTGTTACTACCTTCATCTGGCTATCAACTTTTTACTGCAGCAGCATAAAAATGTACTCGCCACTGCAAAATTTCTTTTAAAATTGCCTGACTATCCCCCAACACCTAATTTAACCTTATAAAAATGTATCTAGTCTTGAAGTTGTAACGTGCACGCACAGCCGCTTGTCTTTACAAGACAATCTTTTGGAATCTCTCTTATGGGTGGAATTTATATATTTCGTGTGGTTGAAGGATCTGCGAGTGTATAAATTTAACAAGAAGTAAGGTAACCTCTCGAGGGAGTGATGACAGTATAAATGTATGTAGCTAGATATCGTGCGTACTTACAATAAACGGTCATGGGCATATTGGCCGATATCTCGTCCTGGAAGGTGGAAATGAGGCAAGTGTAGTTGCCCGTGAGATCAATGTCAGGCTGCGTGAGCTTCATGGCTCGGTACATCTTGTTGGGATCGTTGCTGGCCTTGTAATGGAGGTCGATGTACTTGGAGGCCGGTTCTATGGCCTGAGCTGCTGTGCCGTAGATCCATTGGTAAACTAGGTCAAATGTGTTGAAGTACCACTTGACCACTAGGCCCTTTGTCGACGTGTTCTGGAACTCGTAGTCGCAATCCAGGATTACGTAATCCTCGCCAGCTCTCACCGATGCTGGGATCTCGGTCTTTCTCATGATCAACTGCTCCGAGACTGCAAAAACAAGAATTTTTTTTTTCCGATACCACTCATTACATTGATTAATTGGCATAAAAAATCACTGGGAAAAAATCCCTAATTTATAACGTCATGGAGTAATGATCATCATCACCCGTGACAACCATAAAAGTGTAAACAAGTAGAAAAGAAAAAAAAGACTATGTGGGTGTCGGAGTCTCGCTTTTGCCAAGCTCGTTTACCCCACGAATTATTGAAGAATAGCTCGGCACGACGCTGTCATAGCTTTCACCACCCGAATCTACCGACTCATTTTCGTCGCCGTCGTCGCCGCCGCCGCTGGTAATGGCAAAACGTCTTAATCGCCGTATAACACCGCCCGGTCGCCTACCCCCCCTAACTTGCAGAATTTATCGTCGAACCCAGTCTGCCGTTCCTCCTACGTGTATACGTATATAAACCCTCTACTTACGTAATGCCTCGACGCCCCGAGAGAGCCAGGAGGGACACGTGCAGCTTACGCGCGAATAAATTACAACGCGACTCTTGGCATTTTCGTATAACCCATCAGCGAAGGAGTAGCGGTGCAAGTGGTGGTGGTGGTGGTAGGGAGGGGGCGATTCAATAAAAGTTAAGAGGCTTCCTTGCACGCCCTCGAACTTTACCTTCCATTAAACACTTTCCGTCCTCGCTTGTACTCGCTCTCTTTTGTCCGTATTTGCAAACAGTTTGCCAGACGCCACCCCGACCGGCCCCTCTAAATAGCTTTGGCTGCTGCACGCGCCAAGTAATGACAATTCGATTAACCCCAGCCTCCCTTATCCTTCGTTCTCCGCAATTTTGCTTCCTCCTTTCTCTCTTTCTCTCCCTTTGGCTTGTACATTCCTGTATTGTTTATGTATCAGTTTCTTGGCTGCCGCGCCTGGATTTCGCCTTTCGTGGATGTAGATATTGTACTTAAAAATACTCTACTTTTTGCGTTTCCCACAATACCGTTTATTGTTTTCTCCAACCGAGTCACTTTGCGCTACAATCCACGAACTGTGCCGCAAAGTTAAATTAACGACCGAACGGGGTAAATCTGCAGTATACATGGTATACGATACAGACAAAACTTTTCCAGCATGACTCGGAAACAAACATTAAAACGACCACAATATCTCGAGTGATTGTGAGGAAATTAATTCGACGACAATACCGAGTATGTCTCATTCTTTTTTTTTTTTTTTTTTTTTTTTTTGCTTCCAAACGGGGGCAGCGCCTCCTGAGATCGAGCAAAACCACACTGACGTACACATATATTCTCGGATTTATCATTCGTGAAATTTTCCAAAGCAGTATAGGTATAACCAAACACGGCAGTACTTCACGTATATACAGTTGGTCGCACCAGCGGAAAATGACAAACGTTGTATACAGCCACACACACAAAGATGTCGGGAAAGTCATTCGTGTGCGAAGGATTATTTCGAATGGCCCGAGCGGGTGTAACACATTGCGCGGCCGTTATGCCCCGGACGGATATGGGGACGTGTACACAACCTCCTGCCCATGAATACGCACGGAGCGACCGGATGTAGGAGCAAAAAGGCTCGGCTGCATGGACACCACCTTCGCTCCCCCAGCCTGATATTTTGCCCTCTGCGAGCGTGTGCCGCTCTGATGAACTTTGTACAGGGTGGATTGATTTGTTCGAATAGATTGTTTTGTTACCACGAGCCGAGCGATGGTTCGAATGTATACGCGTCGCTGTATTTTTTTGAAATAAAAATGAACAAACAAAAAAGGAAAAAAAAAAACAAAAAAAAACATGGAAATACCGAGGGCAGATTATCGGCGGGAGGGCTTTTAAAGGAATCACATTCAGGAAGTAGCTGCAGTCGGCACGCGATTTTTCATAACTGGTGAAAGGTCGCAGAACATCAGCAAGCCTCGGGCAAGTAACTCGATTGAAAGTTCCAAGTCGACGATGATACAGTGGGGGGTTGAATCGTGGCATGCGATACATCTTATTGATTGCTCGATGACTCGCCGTCATCACTTGAAAGTAGTAAAGTATAATGAGTGTAATTATCTCCTGAACATGTATACGTATATATGCGTATTCGGTAATATACTTGACGTTAGATTGGATTTAAGACTTGGAGGGTTTGTAAGGGCTCACTCGACAAGTTCCACTTGACGCGATACTCGAGTGCCAGCGAATAATCGATAATTTATCGCGTGTATCGAACGCCCCGATCGCGACAGCCCAGGATTGTCCAGAAAACCTCTCGGAATAATCTTCCCGTTGAATAATTTGTCGCGGCGCATTAGCCGCAATCGATCAAGCTCGCGAGCTCGCAACGATAAACCTATACAAACTTTCACCCCCGATACCTTGGCTAATCTCTCTCCCTTCCGATTGGCCGAGCCGTCTACTCGCGCGAACCAAGAAGCAAATAGCCGCACGGGGCAATAGCTCTAATAGGTGGCACGTCTAAAATATTGCACCGCCACTCGCTACTTCTCCTACAAAAAGAGCCTTTTGTATAGCGTGCTGTCCCCATGCGCTACTTGTATATGGGTGCACACGTGTATGAGTGCACCACAGAGAGAAAAAGAGAGACGGGTTGTGTGTACCGCACGGTGCGATTAGCACCGGCCGAGGCGTCGGTCCTGATTAAGTTGGCCAAGCATGCAAATCGAGATCCCTGGCCTGCACCTTCGTGTATACCCACCTTACCGGTATACATATATACTACAGTTATGTGCGTGTGTGTGTGTACGTATGTTGTATTACACCATAGAGTCGAGAGCGTCATGCGATCGAGTAGAATCGCGCCTTTAGATAAAGCCGTGCTTGCACCAGGAGCAGCTTTTATTTAACCGATGGCGAGTTACCACGCACGCGTGTCCCAAGCGCGTTCGTAATTCTACACGGGCCCCGCATGCTCAGCTAATTGGCTTACGGTTGGTTTAATATACACCCACGATTGACCACGGGAGTACACATGTAACATAATATTACGAACGCGCATAATAGTATACATTGGTACACGTTTATACGTGCGGTCCACAGAGTGCCGATGGCCTTCAAGATGAGCCATTTGGTCCTACCCCCCCCTAGTGATATGCGTACTGTACGATATTTTGTACGCTACAGCGCGAGGACGGTCACGAGAAACTTTATGTGCAATGAAAAAAATTACATTTGGTACGCATTTGTACGTATACTCCAATGATGGCTAGCTTCGGTACGTTGCATGTACTCGAAAAGCCGTCAAAGCCATGACGCAGTGAAAGAGCGTGGGGCAAGAGGAGGGAAAGGCCCCTTCGTAGCAAGCTCTGCAATTTGCAAACGAAAGTTTTTCCCCCGTGAAGCGGTGCATGAGCTCTACACGTAATACTTGTATACTTTCACTCGATGCTCATTGACCGCAACGACAAAGTTACGTAATTTTCGTTCCTCCCGCTTCATTTGGATTTCTATATGCTCCATTTTACAACCGCTGCTATGTTGCTTTGCGGCCTCGACTCGGGTATAATTTTACAACTCACCGGCAACGGCGCGCAAGTATATATATGGCCGTGCTGCAGCGAAAAATATATTATGACGAATAAGTACATGTAGGTGCGCGCTTTGATGTTCCCTTTGCGGTGCGCTTATGTGGACTGTAGAAAACTGATTGGTATGGGGTGCGCGCCGTACTGTTTTCCCATCCGCCACTGAAGCCGAGCAACCTGCTAATTTACGTTTCACATCGTTACATTTCCATGGGCTGATGGCAACCGCATCGAGTAGATCGTATTTTATTTTCGGTATATATTCGGTGATTAATTACCATTATTATATGTGGCGTAAATTGTCGAGGTAGCAATTTCGTGGTATCACCTACAGAGAGACGGGTGACAGGACGATTTGACGCGTACAACAGGGGGATGTATATGACGTTTGCCGTGTGAGCGCAGGCCCGAAAAGTTTGATAGGAAAGAAAAAAAAGGACTCGCATTGAATGAAATACGGGGGGAGGGGGGAGAGAAAGGATATAAATCAGGTGACACGTGCAGGGTCCTTGGCACGAGTGATGGAGCGTGCATGGCAAAAAAACGCACAGAGAGATATCTCGAGCCCATCCGTTCGTTGTACAAAGAGAGGAGGTATACAGAAAGCAAGTGCGAACAACGAGCGAGTGAATGAGCACGAATCGACGACGCGGGGGCGCCGAGCCGTCTGTCTGTCCCTCTGACTGTGCTGTCTGTCGGAGCGATCGTTCGTCATGCGCACCGGCTGCTCTCTCTCTCTCTCTCTCTCTCACACGGACGCGCTTCTCTTGCACATAATTTATTGCACACGCATACGCTTCCATTGTTGGTTATCAAATAATCTCGTATAGGCATACGTATTCATAGCAACGTCATTGATGTATTGGAAAGTAATCATACCAAAGTATCGAGGAAAATGTGTGTGTGTGTTTTTTTTCTAGGATAGAATAGAGCTCTTGGTAGACAACCCTCTTGGAGATAATTTCGTCTCGTGAAAAGCTAATGTGCGGCACTCTAGTCGGGCTACCTTAAATTTTTTAATGGCCAACTTTTTTTTTAGTAACAACTGGTCGGACACCAAAAAAGGACAAATAAAGCTTCGAAATATCAGATCGATAGTGCCAGAAAATTATTTCTGGACCCCGTGTAACTTATAAACATCACTCGCTGGAACTACAACCTGAATTTTTTTGAAAACTTCGAGACTGTCCCCCCCCCCCCCCAAAAAAAAAAACCTAAGTACCTCACAGCATTGCATCGATCGTGGCATGAAATAACTTATGGCGGTTGGTATTTCTGTTACATTACAGGGAAGTATCACTAAATTTGAGCTGTTAAATATTATATTGTCAAAATCTCGTTGTTATACGTATTGTAAATTGATATCACTAGTTTGGTAGACTCATCAATTTCGTACTTAATTATATTAAGATCAAATTGAAAGCAATACCGTAACGTAACTTTACAACGATTCAATTGAATCTCGTTAAAAGACTATTAATGATTATAAA